GACGTGATTCAAAACTTCTGAAATTTTTTATGCAACCTAGTCTAGTTGAGGCCTTTATGCAGGCAAAGTTTCAGATCAACATTTGAAAGTATAGCTTTGCTGCCACTGTAGGCCTACAATAAAGAAAATTCACTAAGAGTTCGATATCTCCTCAGAAACAAGCCAGAAACCCGAACTTTTTTTACCGTAAGCATAACTCACTACGGGCTACAAGATGCACGAAACCCCGATTGAAAAGCGCTCCCGCACCTTGGAAGGTTCCCTAGTAAAACACTTTTTTTTTCTGCTCTATTGAAATTTTGTAACAAAAATTAAAACCCTATGATAACAGTATATATTCGATTATTCACTTAATATTTAGTTGGTTGTCTAATGTAGGGATCTACGGGTCCAGATTCATAAAAACATGGACGCGCAACTCTGTAGCTCGCTTTATATTAATCATCGATCTTAATTATATTTCTCTAATAATGCCATAACAATGTAGAGAATTATTGTTTTGTCTTCAATCTATATACAAATAGATTGTTACGATTCTAAAAATAACTCATAGGAAACTTTAGTTTTTCAATAACTAAAGTTAATCTTTCGAGTGTATAGTATCATACTAGATTATTTCTTCTAAACTTACATTATGCTTAGTAGAATCAGAGAAATTTTGAGTAATCAATCATTGATCTATTTTTATCGAGAAAAAGAATCTATCATTTTTCTTTTGAAATACATGAAAAACAAGAAGTTTAGATTCCTTGAGTCCTTACAAATAGTCTTTCTCTTTCTGCTGACTTCAAGTATCCGACTCGAATCACGAAAATTTAACCCATGTAGAAGATATTGCTGACTTCAAATTTGTTCATAAATTAATTTGTATTAAAACTTGATCAATTTAATCTATTTGCTATTAGGTATCCTATATTACATATAAATTACTTGGTAAGGAATGTCCTATTCCAAATCGATGTCAATCAAAAATTCCTAATTTAAATACAATATCAATGCCATTAACTGATAGTGAATCTCGTCATCAACGAACTTCTGCTTTATCAAAAGCTAAATCAACATCAAAAAATGTTACTGATGAATCTTTAACTCTTGGTACAGCAGTTAATCCACGTGAACGTCCACGAGGTATGATGGCACCATCAACATCATTAATTAATTTTAATCAACCAAGTCAACCATCACCAGTTACTGTTGCTCCACCAAATCCATCAACGAATTCATCACGATCAGGTTCAGCTAATCAATTAATGTTTGATGATGATTTTTCACAAATTCCATCACATGCGATTAGTTTAACTAATATTCCAACTGTAACAACAACAGCTAAAAATGAAAAAATTGTATCTCGTGCTCGACCATTACTACCAGAAATGATTTCAACAACATCTGGTCTTACTGTACAACAACAATTCTTTCCACCACCACCGCCACCACCTGCATCTTCTTCTAATGTTGAAACTCATCGACGTAGTTCATCTCAAACAATAAGTCCAACGAATATCCAATCGTCTTTTCAAAACGCCTCCTCCGTTGATTCCTCTGATCAAGACGAAGTATCCAATGATGACATTAATCAATTAAAAACAAATGTAAATAAAATAAAACTTCAAAATTCTTCAACAAATAATTTTCAATTAAATTCGGATGATGATCAAATATTTACATCCAAATCTGTTTCTAATAAATCAATATCAACGAAAACTCATGTAAGTTCCTATTGAACAGAAAAAAAAAAAAAGAACTTGCCATCAATACAACAAATAAATTATTTTCAAGAAAAATAATATCCATTAAACATCTCTGAAAATTATTATATCCTTTTTTTTTTATCAATATTTCTCTTTTATAGAATATCAAGAAAAAATCTCAATTACCAATAATAACTAAATCTACAAATCATCATCCATCAACGGAGGAGGCTGAAAAAGACATTTCATTTTCGAATACAAACAATAAAAATTTTATTGGATCCGTAATTGAACATTCAATTAATCATTCCTCTAAAGAAAATAATCTTGATAGTAACACACAAAATAACTTTAATCAACTTATTAATCAAGATTCTGATGATGAACAAGAAAAAAGTACGTCAAATGGAATATTCTTGATAATAATTTTTTTTTCTCTTGAGCTTTGCAAAATACGATGTTGAAGAAGTATTGAAATACTTAGTTTCATCCATAAACAGCAACACTAAAAAAAGAGATCGTCTCAAATTTTACAAAAAAAGAAAAACAATTCACTTGGTGTCTGTGTGATTATGAAATCCAATCAGTTTCGCTAACAAGGAAACTACTTGCAGTGATATTTCCGTTTGAGATAAGGTCAGAGTCATTACGTATGACCTATTGAGACTAGAAGGATTCTTTCCCATGCGTTGCTTTTTTGGAGTTGTAATCGTTATAATAGATTTTTTACCTTTGGCACGATATTTAGAGAAAAAACGGAAAAAAGAATGTTGGCCTAAAACTTTGTTCATTGCGAAGGAAAATCATGGTATTCTTCCAATAGGACGGAAAATCTCGTTTATTTTATGTATTTCATAGCTCAAAAAAGGACTACTGTTTTTTGACTGAAATTTTTACGATATTATAATGACTTCAAGAATTGCCTATGAACAAAGTTTTAGGTCGAAATTCGTTTGTCCCAACTTTTTTTAAATAAATACCGTGATAAAATTAAAAAAATCTTGTTTAATGGCCATCACTCTAAAAGTCAGTGCATGAAGGCGAATCCTTCTAAGTTTCTTCTCATCTCAACAGACCCCACATAATGAATGAGATCTAATTTCAAAAGCAAGACATCACTTCGGGGAAGTAATTCTGTTGATGATGCTTGAATGAAATGCAGTGTTGGTACAATATTTTTCTCTCCACGTATTGAGTAACTTCACCATAATATGATTCATCATTATCCGTAGATGAATTTACATTAAAAGCGAATGCTTTTTTTTTTTTTTATAAATAGCAGTTTGAAAAAGTAAAAATATTTTGCAACGTCAAGATCTCGTTAAATACCGAAATTAAATCCGGATATAATCTCATGCTCAGCACTAGAATCAATCTGGCTGTAGAACACTAGTCATTATAATACATGAACTATTTCGCCATTGTATTTCCGGAGAATTAAATAAAAGGATGATGAAGAAATCTGTATATGATTCTATAAGAACTTTTTTCTTTATTATTTATTTAGATCACAAAACAAACTTTATTAATCATTCCTTGACATTAAAAAGTTCATCAAACAAACATAACAATGAAATGAATCCGTCGTTGATTGATAATAATAATCCATTTCTTCGTGCACCTTTTCATCATTCATCATCAAATAAACAAACATCAACATCTTCATCAACTAATATAAATCAAAAAATAATTATGACTAACTCATCTTCATGTGATCTGAACAGTATCGTTGTTGGAAAAAGAACAAGTGCTTTTGCTCCTTATCAAAAACGAGAAATAAATTCAGATAATTATGGTAAATTTTTTTTCTTTTTCAAATAATAGTTTTCTAATTTTATAGACAAAAAAAAAACAATTTTTCGATTCATTTAATTGATCTATAAGTCTATTTCATTAGAATTTAACTATACAATTAGTTCGATAAGACGAAAATAAACAATTTGTATTAGACAATCTTCTATTATATTTGTTTTAGTTATTGATGGAAAATATGATCCCGATAGTTCAATAGGCAAAGTTTCTCATTCGGAGTATTTTGTTCCAATTGCTCTTAATAATCAATCATTTACATCAACAGACGTCTTCACAAATGCTCCATTTAAAACAAAATCCAAAAGTAAACAACATTCAACAGTGACCAATAATATAAATCCTATGTCATCTCAATCATCATCAAATTCTCAATTGATTAATTTAAATATGCAAGAACAAATAAATAAAAATTTAAATCCTAATAAGAAAGCAATAATCACTGACATTGATTCTCAACAACATGGTTATTCGAATTTATTATTGAACAATACTATTATCGATGAATATCTCTAATGCATCCTTCCGGTGATACATTTTTATTTTTTTGTGAAACTTGTATCATTCCATAAATATATTCTTTCTTTCCTCGTATATATCTACAGCTAATGATGCTTATATATTTTATAATTTTAATAAAAAACAAAAAAAAAAAAAAGAAGTTCAGTGATGCAATATGTCCAACTTCTCTTGTGTATCTGTAGAAAATTATTTCTATTTCTGTTTATTTTACTTTTCAAGTTTTATACTGCGCAAAAATGTTTTAAATTAAAAAAAATAAATTCAAGTGCTTTTATTAAAGAAATTATTTTGTTGGTGAATAAAACTACCAATGAAATATCATGACTACATAAAAATATTAAATATTAATTATAAAAGAGCAAGAAGAAATTTTCTTTTAATGTCATTATATACTTGTCATTGGCTCTATCATGATATAAATATAAGAATATATTTTATGTTTTCCAATTTGTTGTCATAGTAACCAAAGTTCTTCAATATTAACTTTTTACAAGTGACTTTTGATTGTTGTCCAAAAATGATCTCCTCCTTTTATTAAATTCATTCCAAATTTATTATCGTATGTCAATCATTATCTCACATATCTAATATTCTCAGTATTACTAAAAGAATAAAAAAAAAAAAACAATGAATGATCATACAATTGATCATCAAAAGCAAACAGTAACTAAAGAAGAAGAAAATTTAAAATATCTTCCATTTAATATTCAATGGCTTGATTCAAGTTATCAGCAAACATGTTTACCTGATAGTCCATGGCAAAAAGTAAAAAAAGGCTTTGTTTTTTTTTTCTAAATTAAAATATTCATTTTTTTTTTTCAAAATTTCATTTAATAAAAGATTCTTGATGAGCTTGAACCAGCCTTAGCAAATACAGCACGTCAACAATTTAATAATCCTGAACGTCGTCAAATACTTATTGAATTACTTGGTAAATTATTTCAATGGAAATTATTTCGATCCGAACCCGATACACCACATATATTAGTTAGTCATTTTTGTTTTTCTTTATTTTAAATCAAAATGATTTTTCTTTTTTTGTTTCATATAGCTTCCACCTGTTATGCCTGAAGAACATCGACGTAAACTTGAAAATGAAGCTAAATCATGGTTACAAATTCAAACACATAAATCAGCACTTGAAATAGGCGCAGGTATTTAAATTAAGATTCGTTTCTTTTTCTTTACTATAATTTAATATTCTATTTAGCTGTAACGGAAGATGAAGAGTATGTATAGAAAATTAATTAATTAAATTATTTAAAAATCAAAAAATTCGCTTTAGTATAAATCATTTATCAAATGATATGAAAAATTTTCTTGAATATACATATCAAATAGTACGTAAATCACTTGAACGTTATTTATATCAAGTACAACAAAGAGAAAGTCTTAAACAAGAAGAAGAGAAACTACAAGAAATAAATAAGAAAAAACATCAAGATGAATTAACCGGGGGTACAAAACTTCGATCAATTTTACGTGATACAAAGACTAATTCAAAAAAATTACCAATGATTGATGGTTTGTATGAAATTTGAATTGATTTTTTCTTTCTTAAATAGAGAGATAGAATAATTTAAATCAGACTTGAACAAATAAAAATAAAAATTGTCTTTCTAATGTTTGATTAAAGATTTATTCACGAGCATTAAGGCCCCCTCCCCCCGTCAAAAAAGTCAATTTTCGTCAGAAAAATCGAAATTGAGATAAATGCATGGGAAGATAGGCCAAGTTCTGCTCTTTCAGAAACGCTATGATTTTTTATTGGGCACCTCTTTTTTGACAAAGTTTTTAATCCTTTTCTGTCATCGACTGCTAAAAAAAACAAGATCTTTATTTTCTGGAAAAAAAACGAAATTTTAGATAAATGTATACTCCAAATAGTCTATGTAAATGAGCTTCTCTGACATAGATAATCGCAAACAGATACGAAGAAAAAAATGAACTTTATCTTCTAAAAAAAAAAAAAATCAAAATTTTATCATTTGTCTGCGCAGAGATATTCACAAAATAAACTGTATTTTTTCGAAAGTCCGATATTTCAAAAAACTTGTTTCTCGTTTTTCTCAGAAGGTGGGTTCGACGACGCATCTCCAGCGGCATTCGACCAAAGTTCGATATAAAGTCAAATATTTTTTTTTTGTTTGAAAGAGCGTGAAAAACTGCAGCGGCTAGCGGAGCCCTTTCTTTGAATAAGGCGTTGTTATTATTAAATTNCATTGAAAAATCGTAATTTTACCTTTTTTAACTTTTAACCACATTAAGTAGTTGATAGATCGTGGATAATCTTAGTGAACAACGACTATCAGCACTAAGCTACATTTTGCTGAAAACCGCAGCTCAAAATAATGTGCGGTTCTGGAAATCTTACGGACGCAATCTCACTCGTCAGCTGTATGAACTATTTTGAGCGCCACTGTATAGTGGCGAAAGGAATGATTTCTAGTAGTTTCATATAATACTTTTTTTTCAAAAGTTGACATGATGGAAAAGGATTCAATGAGAGATATGCTAGTAAACACAAGTGTAGCGCATACATTAAGTTTTGTGCTTCTCTATCTAGATGTAAACGAATATGTAATCAGATTTCAAAAGCATAAGTCTCAGTAGTCTAATGGTGAAGACGCACGACTGAAGATCGTGTCATTCAGGTTCGATCAATACTGTTCATTTATTATAATTATTCGTAGAATTAATCAGTCGTATAATGAATCGTGAAATATATGTAATAAATGAACAAAATCTTTCCTGACTGAGACATTGAATTTTTTGTTATTTCGTTTGAATAATTCGAAGCTGATGCAATACCATTTACATGCTCTCATATATTTCATCATAATTACGCAAGAGTACGTCTTTTTGTGTGTTTTTTATTGTAAACCAATCAGAACAGAAAAAAGCACATGCAAAAACCTGCACTTACACACATATTCACCCTTCCAGGAATCACATGATAATCCTAAAATTCAAAATCCGTCGTTTCTCTTTTTGTCAACAACGATTTTTATCGATTAAAACTTCACCGAAAGAGTTTTTTACTGATTTTGATATCATTGTCAACAAAAAATTCGACGGAAACGGACTAATTCCAACTTTATAGGAAGCTGAAATTGATCCGTTCGTTCAAAAAATTTATTTTTATACGACTATTTTGCGCATCGATCTTTTCACTTGAAAATAAAAGATTTCTTTTTTCTATGTTCGGTACTCTGTTTCATGTTCTATGTTAAGAAATGAAGTGTGGTTTTTAAGTAATAAAAGTGACAGTCGGTGCCCGCATACTTTCTCTCTTGTCATTTTTGCTTTAGTGGAAAAATGTATGTGAACGTTATCTTGAAAAACAATTCAACCATTGAATATTTTTTACACATAAGAGTGCCATATAAATTACATTTTCTACAGAATCGTTTTCGGTAATCTATGGTATTTCATAAGAATGATTTCAAGTAAAACCCTGCTGTGCATAAGATATTGACCCTTACTGTTCAGTAAGTCTACTGAATTATCATTGTACCTTTTCGAAACGTCGATAAAAGAAACAATATCTATTAGTTTGGGATCAGTTATTTCTTTTTCAAAATGATACTAAAACCGGTCTACTACTAAAATAGTGTACACATATGTTTCAACAGAATCGATAATCGACTGGAGTTTATTTTTCTTAGTACCCTGAAGCATTAGAAAAATCTGTTCATTTGACATAATAACAAATTCCTAAATTTATTCTTTTTGCCATACAACAAAAAAAATTCTATAATAACAACTTGGTCAACCAATATTTTCATCGGTTTAAAATATGACGACACGCGGCTATGTTTATCGATTGCAGGAATACTCAAATAGAGTTCACTGAAGCATTTCTTTTTCTTCAATAATTCTATGAAAAAATACATAAAATATCAATGATTATCAAACACATCATCGGTTAATAAGGTTATACAATTTTGTTTTGCTTTGCCTTATTAGAACATTTCTCTTACGTAACAATGTAATCGTGTTCAAACAAATTGTTTGATGTAACTCATATTCAGTATTATTCTTACATATTCTGTTTGGCATATCAACAAAATGTAAAAGAGTATGGACAGAAAAAAGCAGATATCATGATTGTTGTACTTATCGGAAGTTTTTTTTTGGAATTGCTTAGCAGAATCAAATTAATATTTGTTAGTTGTTTGTTGTTTTACGTTGTTTATTATTCATAAATATCGATATATTTTTAATATATAAAGGTTTATTAATAAGCATAATGTTTTGTATATGACAAGTTGGATATTCGTTTGAAACATTGATAAACAATCTTGCCTAGTAATTATTTTTGCAGGATAATATACAGATATTAATTGATGTGAGATTGTTCAGAGACAAAAATAAAGGAATTTAAATATACTAACAGTAAATAAAACATCGATATGTACATATTGTAACGATCAAAAGTGTTATGTCGTGTTTTCAACTGCCTTTATTTAATTTGTCTCTTCCTTTTATATTCCCGTTCCACTTCAGCGCGCTATTCAAGCGGAGAGGGAGAGAAGAGAGAGAGATATATATAAATACATAAGTAGGGAGAGAACATGAGAGAGGAACAGAAGTGAACACAGATAAACATTAAAGCATAAGGGCGTAACACGTTATTATGTACACAATTACCAAATACATTAGAGCACGTATCTAAATCGGCACACATATCAATTATCTTTTGTATCTGGATAATCTATAATAGCTCTTAAAAAGAAATGTATAATTCATGTTAAGATACCATTAAATTTATTGTAATGATAGAGAAGATTTCACTCAGACTACACAAATAAATAATTCATGCATCAAAACTAAGAAAATTTCATTTCATGTTTTGTTCCCCTTAAATTGTGCGATTAGTTTAATATACAGTGAATTAGTCAATATCTTCTATTAGACATGCTAATTGAGTAATTTTGTTATGCAATGAATAGGAATTGGATGAGAGTGGAGATATATTATATTAGATGCATGTTCTATTTACAACGATATTTATAATAATCTTAACGGAAGATTGAAGATAGATTAATATGGATATTATTAAAAACTATATGAAAGATAACAATTCAAATATATTGTATTTATTAAATAATCCATATGAAAATAGTTTTTCAATAAATAATACTGATTTAAATGGTTTGATCAAAAAAATAATATATATTCTATGATGAACTTGGAAGAATAAACAACTTGAAAGTATAAAAGCAAATAATCATATTGATGATACAAATAGAAATTCTAATGTTTTTAAGTATTTTATATCAGATACTGATTTCTAACAATAGATATTATTAGAAGAAGAAAACAGAACTCATACTTTTAGCAAAACTATATCAAAAACGAATAAAAATCTTATTGAATTAACATGCAAAATATTCTGAAGAATTGTCATATCTATAAAAAAATTAGAAGAAACACAAGAAAATATTTGAAACTAGATAAGATAAATATAGAGAAAAAAAATCTCGTCCTTTTATCTTTCTTCTCAAGACATAAAAATAATAAATATAAATTTATTTTCAATGAATAATCTTATTGATTATTTGCTTTTTCATCTGTTTATTCAATTGAAATGATAAAAGACATTTTTTCTTCTATTGAATTTTCAGTTGATGTATTGTTTCATGATATTATCGTTGAAGAATAATATCATTTCACCTAGAGAACAACTATTTATTCATCGTTCAACAGTTAACAGGATTAAATTTACTGAATAAATATAGTTTTATTTGAAAATATTATCTAGTCGACTTCGATATTACATTATTACAAATAAATTCCTTTGATGACAATCGATAATTGAAACGATTTTCAAAAACCAAAAAATAGAATTTAAAAATTTTCATTAAATAATATCTGAAAAGAGTTAAATATTCGTTATTAAATGTTTCAATCAATGAATATCATACTTCTTGAAACTTTTCACAAAGTAAATAAGACAATTTATCTTAAATATTCTTTGTTTTATAAAAGATAAATAAAATCTTTGTGATTTTTAACATTTCTTTTTGGAAGAATATTAAAATTGAAAATAAGAATTAACTTATAAAATGTCTATTAAATGAATCTTCTATTTTATTGAAAGAAATCAAATCGAATGATTAATATAAAAGCAAAACTAAATTGTATCGATAGTATAAAACATGATTTCATCATTCAAAAAATCTCATTGAATCGATTGTTTAATAATAATCATATTTATTTATTATTGTGTTTCTTTTCAAGACTATTTATCTAGGTGATTTGACAATTCGAACATCTTATTTTTTTTTAATTAAATTTAATTTATTTAGTAAAAGATTTGTATTTTCTTTGTTTATGTCAATGTTTATCCTTGACTTTGAGCTGTTTGGAAAAACAACTCATTTATTAAAAGAACCTTTAATGAATTCACTTCAAACTTTGTGAAGGTTTCGAACGTATTAAACCAATACTCTATTTTATAATTAATCAGTGATATCCTAGCATGGTTAACCTGAGTATCCTTATGATCCAATATATTTATATAACTAAGTTAGACGATCCAACTCAATACACGATAAGCAGAGTTATGACCAGTTGGAGTTTTCATTAGTGGAACCGGTAGAAATCGGCATCAGTCATTCTTCATTTTTCTCACTTCATAGCTACTATACGAATTCCTTCATTAGTCATATATGATTCCTCTAACTACGCTAATGACATAAGAGTTCTTTTTTTAGGAATTTTTTACTGTTTAACTTCAGAAGTTTTTTTTCTCTGTTGATATCTTCTAGTGCATTATACTTTCTTTTATAGTGTTACTGGTTTAGAATAAAAAAAACATTTTGTTCTTGCTATTATATTAATGAGATGATATAAATAATCTTTTTCTGTATGAGGAAACAAAATCATTATGTACATCATTGGAAACTTCTTAAATATAAATTGTTTAAAAAAACGAGAAAAACAAATTTTTTTGCTTTTCTGAAATTTGAATATGATGGTTTATCGGATGGTTGAAAAAGTAAAAATCAGTAAATGTATCCAAATATTATTAAATCGTTGTGCTTATCAATGTCGGAGAACTTGTTCATTATGATCAAATTTCCATGATGAATGAGATAGTTCAAAAAAAAATATAATAGAATATCAATCATTGATCAACAACAAGAACAAATTCATCAATCTTTTAAGTGAACTTCTTTCTTCATTCATTCTATGAATCCTTTTTTATATCATTATTTGAAATTGTTTTTTTTTGTTTTGAAAGACATTTTAATAAAGTGTCAAGCAGACATTTACTTCGAATAATTTATACATTGATTTTTCTTGTTTACAAACTCGATCGTTACTTCTCAATTTTGTGATAAATCTAGTTATTTATTCGATATGCTGATATCTGTGGGTTAAAAATTCGTTTTAGTAAAATATTATTCTGTCTTTGACATCTTATTACTTCTTCATAAATGACACAGCTTTTTAGACGACCTATGTCAATGTTCGGAAGGAATTTACTATGAAGACAGTGTCCTTATCCAGAAGTAATCTTTTCTATATTTATAATAAACTATTGTTCATTTTTATTTTTTTTGTTTCTTTTATCTGCCTTATGAAATAGTAAAAGAATTGTTCATCCGATATTACTCTCTCGATTAAGCGTAAGACTCTAACTATAAATTAAAATAAGAGTCCTTCACACTTTAACTTTCAAATAGTTAAAATTAAAGTTAAATTTCTTCACATTGGCCTTTTTTTGTAAAGAAATTCTTTTTTTCAAAAAAGTAAATGCATGCAAGAAAATATCTTGTGGAAAAATCTACTACAAACTTGATCTAGATTCGACCAGAATTCATAGATAACAGTGATGATCGTAGAATTAATTGAAGGAAAAAATGAATAAAACACTGGAAATTCGTTTGTTAAAAATTAAAACTTCGCCAAATTGAGAATGTGAACCTTTCTTAAATTTTTTGATGACAAAAATAAAATGTTATTTGATTTTTTTTTGTTTTAGATTTCTGTAAGAAACACTAATAGAAAAGAGATAGAGCAAGTGTGTCGATTGTTCTTCGTTAAAGAAATATCGTTCACTTACCATTATTTTTGCTTTGGTCTCACTATTATGATATGAAGTGAAATGTGATGAAATATAGTAGAAATCGAAAGCACTATTTTCGGCATATATCTTAAGTACAAATGAAGTTATCATTGTCTATTGAATATTTCTAAAATATAAATTGTTTACATTTAATTGAAAAATTTTTTGTTTAAATAAATAAAAATGAGAATGAAAATATCTCTTGTTCTTATACATGTAAATAATTATTTAGTCAAATTTGATAATTATATGTAGAAACTTGCTTGAGACAAAAAAAATGAAGAGAAGAATCGAAAAAAGAAATTATAAAATTGAAAATACGTTGATTTGCTAATGAAGAAGCATGAGATTGAGATTAAAGAAGGGTCGTTGCCAATTGTTCTCTTTGCTTTAGTCATTTATTAATTTTCCTTTTTTTCTATTTGCGTATCCTTGAAAACGTTAAATATGTCAGAGATACTCGATATGCTTGATTCGATTTCAAACAATGTTAATTCTTATTCTCTTTGATTTCTTTTTTCTTTTAAAATAAATAATTTATTATTACAGATCTAATTAATTTAAATGTTGATTCAAATTCTGATGAAACTGGTCACACATAATTTCAACGTCTTGTTTATCTTCATGCGTCATATTCAAATAATAATTAAGCATTTTTTTAAGATTTATTTTTAGTTGAAATGCAAATTTGTTTGTTTTTAGAGATATGTTAACAAATATTTTTAACGAAAGGCTATTGTGCACTTTATCTTAAACAGGTGTTATGCATGAGAGAAGATTATCTATTAAATACGGTCAAGACTATAAACATATTGTCTAGTATAATGATAGAATAGATAGATGCATTATTGCATCTTTCTTGTTCATCAAGATGGAATTTAAGTATATAACTTATTTTGCGTCTAATCAAATATGAAAGTAAAGTGTGTGGGTGTGATTAGAGAAAAGATCAACAGGCACACACTGTAAAAAAAATTCGTAGAATAATAAACCCTAGAACTTTAGGAAAATCTTCCTAAACCCTTAAAGGGTTTATGCTGGTGTGTTAAACCCTTAAAGGGTTTTTGTGCGAAAGGGTTTCCGAGAAAAAGGGTATTTGAAAATAAAAAGGGTTTATGACTAGCGAAGAAGGGTTTATTGCTCTACCCTTTCGTGAAAAGGATTCATTACTCTGCAGTCAAGGGTTTACTGTACTGCCTTTTCATGAAAAGGGTTTATTATTCTACGACCAAGGGTTTATTGTTCTGCCCTTTCATGAAAAGGGTTTATTATTCTACGGTCAAGGGTTTATTGTTCTGCCCTTTCATGAAAAGGGTTTATTATTCTACGGTCAAGGGTTTATTGTTCTGCCCTTTCATGAAAAGGGTTTATTATTCTACGGTCAAGGGTTTATTATTCTGCCCTTTCATGAAAAGGGTTTATTATTCTACGGCCAAGGGTTTATTGTTCTGCCCTTTCATGAAAAGGGTTTATTATTCTACGGTCAAGGGTTTATTGTTCTGCCCTTTCATGAAAAGGGTTTATTATTCTACGGCCAAGGGTTTATTATTCTACGGCCAAGGGTTTATTATTCTACGGCCAGGGGTTTATTATTCTACGGCCAAGGGTTTATGGCTCTACCTTTTCATGAAAAGGGTGTTTTATTTTATATTCGAGAATATATCAACATTCCTTTTGATTAAAAGCTTTTGTTCTATGTTCAAGGGGATATTAGTATGCTTTTTCATGAAAAGCTTCTTGTTCTATGATAAAAAAAATAACTTTTTTACTTTTGGATGTTGACTACTCTTTGATTATTGTAAAATTTTGGCATCAGCATGACGTACGCGTACTGAGAAGTGCATCATAATACATTTTACTAACTATTCTATTAACTTTGTTTCCGAACGTCAACCAAATTCTTGATATCAGCAATTTCGATTCGATAAAAAAAGTATATGAATCGTCTTTTATAGCATTTGCGTTACTGATATTCTGATATTGAATTTATTGAGAAAAATAAAAAAAAATTATTTTATATAGAAAAAAACTCCGTTCGTATTTGCAGATTTTTTAAAGTTTTATATTTTGCGACGATTTATTCTAAGGAATCAAACTTCGATTGTTTTATACTTAATTAAAATATTCTCTTTACAATTGATTTTTTTTCTTTACATTATTTCTATAACAATTTGGATATATTTTTCGATAATGTGCCAAAAGAAATCAAAAGCTTAAAACAATTGTATACATAGCTGAAGAATATTTTTAGCTTGCTTTATAGAGATGCCGTAAACCACATGAATACTTATAATGAAACTTTACGGATTGATATCTTTCAATCTTAGAATCAAAAGATATCAACATTCAAACTCTGAATAACTTGAAACTGTAGAGGAGAGGATGAATGATACACTTTCAAGTTGTTTCATTTTCAAAATTAGATTATCATTTGTAGCTAAGGATTGAAAAACTAACTCTAATACAGAAAGACATAATCATTTCTCAAGTATTTGTTGTTTCGATCTACTATATATGTACTAGCTAAGATTTTTATTGGTTATTCTCACTAGGGAATTTGGAAAGATGCTATTCAAACTAAACTCAAATGAAAACGTTTTGAACATCAAGATAATGAAGAAGTAAAAGCTTATCAGTCGAAATATTCAAGATTTGGATCTCGACGTCTAGTCAAAAAAAATGATTGGTGAAGTTGCTGAACGAGATCGACAAAAACAAGTAAATCTCTATTACATATATTTTGGCTTTTGATTAATTTTTTCCAGATAATGTTGGTAACTTACGATGATGATACATTAACTGTTATTCAAAATAAAACCAAAAAGTTGCGTGATGATCCTCAACTTGATCTTGATATTCGACTTCAGTTATGGAAAGAAACTCTTCATGTTAGACGTAAAGCTATTCGTAATCAAACAATGTCAGAAATTCTTGAAGAATTTCGTGGATATAAAGAGCCAGTGTTGGTGAGTTTATTTGTAACTTCTTTTATTTACATTTAATAAATTTATTTCTGCAATAGATTTTTGAAGAAGTAAAGATGATAATGGGAGCTGATTTACGTGCTGTCGTACGTCGTCAAATACCAATTTTACTTGAAAAGATTATTGTAACACCTGCTTTTATTACAGGTTATAACACGAATTAAAGTATTTCAAATAACCATGTGTCTTTCTAGATTCTCCACCAATACAACTTATTCGTGTACTTTGTCGTCAATTCGATGAATCAGTTCACCATTTATATTGCAATACAGTGAGTGCTTTGCTGTAGCTTTGGAAGATGCATTTTTTTAATGTTTTATAGACAGACATATGAAATGTTCGTATTGAACTAACGAAACAAAATTTTTTATAAATAGTTGCGCGTCTTTTTCAGGAAGAAATAGTTTAGACAAATAGTTTCAAAAAATAGCTTGCATTTGTGTGATATACCAATATTACTAACTTTTTTATTGTTTGCATCTTACAGGAAAAAAAGCTTTTAATAGTTATGTAGAATGATATGATAGTCTCAGCATATTTTCACACGAGTTGGCCAGAACAATCAATATATTGTGGCTATATAGCACGCAAGCATTTTTTGGTTTGCTAATCGTGAATATTTTTTTTTCTAGTCACCATCAAGTCCATATCCATCAATGGTGTTTACTGATAATACAATCATTGTGTTTACAGATTTTCTTTCAATTGTTTCAACAACATCACCTGATGATGGATTAGCACTTGTACTAGCAATGTATGTTGTGTTCGAACTAAATTTTCCTAAAAATGGTCGAGCAATACGATTTTTATATGCAATCATGTTTGGTGATACAAGATATTTATCAAATAAAATGCGTAGTCTAATCAAGGAAAAGAATATTGAAATTTATACTGAACAAAATCGAAAAATCTGTGAAAGTACAAATTTGGTTTCAAACAGTCACTCAGCTGTTACTAATGATACTCAATCTTCATCACAAGCTAGTTCTAATTTATTATCTACCCCACTTGATGATATTTATCCATTACATAATAATAATTTAAACATCAATAATACTATTACATCTACAGAGTAAGTATTATATTTGTACATGAATTTAAAAATGTTATAATTTTTCTGTGCATAGGCTCGATGATATAATTCGAAAATCTTCATCAAATGTTGATTGTCAAAAAAAATCTGAACATTTTTCAAAAAAAATCGTAAAGAAAAAAGCATTAACATGTGATAGTGATGATGATTCACAAAATGGTATTAATTCTTTAGTTGATACAAATTTACATGTTGGTACTCGTCACAAGATTCAACGAAAACGTCGTTACTAATCTATACACATTGTGATTAACAGTTAATATTGTTTTTGTACTATTTAGTATTTTTAATACTACTTTTTTATAAAAAAACTTGAAACGTTATTAAGATGAACATAATGAATGATATATTGTATATATATATGATGTCTTTCTAAGATATGAAAAAAAAATAAACATTGATGAAATATGAAACTCTATTCAAAATCGTCCATTTTTTTTTCTTCTAAATCGTGAAGAAAGTGATGTCGAATTAGCTACTGCACACAGACATTAATCAATTACGAACAAGCTCTTGAATCATTATATCAACGATGATACCATTTTATAAAATTTTACTTTAACTCAACAGAGACATTCATACTTTTCGTTAGAATTTCTATGTTTTTAACATTTTTTATAATATACAATCCATTTCGTTGTATTATCGGAATTTTAAGAACTTATAGACTATCATCGAAATAAATTTCAATAATTCCAGTGGCAAAAAGAAAAACACGTCTTCATCCTATCTATTATCCATTTCAAAATATAAGAGCATTGACCATTTTTTGAATAACTTTTGATAGGAGCAAGATAGAGGGGTGCGGTTTTCGCCATTAGAAAGAGAAGACTAAGCCGCATCAACACATGCGAAAAT